AGCCCTAAACACCAAACCCTAAAGCCCCTAAAGCCTAAACCGGTGTGCGGCAAGATTTCGCGATCCAGCGGTTGCGGCTCACTTAGCTCTGCGAAATGAACCCTCTGAAAGGACTTTGGGGTTAAGGGTGTAGGGTTTAGGGGGGGTTCAGAGCGCGAGGGCATAGGGCCCCTACCCATAGGCCCCATAGTAGTTCCTATTTGGGATCCATATTTAGAATCCTGTTAGGGAATCCCCAAAAAGAGCTACTATGGGGCCTATGGGTACTTCCAAGTTTCACGTGGTTCTCAAGGTTTCAAGTCCGCGGAGTAGAAGGGTTTCTCGCGCTCAGCTGGAAGAACGACTGCCCCTCAGAGCGTTTGCATTGGAAGTCGGGTTACAAGCGGGTGAAGATCCCGCCCTCAGCACTAAAACCCCTGAAAGCCCTACAGCCCTGAACCCTAAGACTCCCCAACAAATTGCAGGTACCACGAGGACGTGAAGCATGGGCACGGCCATTTTAAATGGCCCGACAACCGCGAGCCCCTCTCTCAGAACTTGGTTTTTGGATTTCTGGCTTTTTTGGGGTTTGTTTTTGTTTTCGGGGCATGGGGCTCAAGTTTCGGATGTTCAGAAGTCTTAGTGTTTCGGTATTGGGGGTTGGGTGTTGCGGTCTTCGGGTTCAAGGGTTTTTTGTTGTGAAGTGACCCCCCCCCACGCAGGCTCTCTGGGATGTGTTCGATCTCACTGGATCTGCATCACTCGCAAATGACACAACTGAGAGCCTGACGCCCTCAACTCCACACCCGAATTTCTTGACCCTAGCTCAGAACCAAACCCTAAACCCTAAACACTAAACACTAAGCCCGCCAAACCCTAAACCGTAAAATCAACCCAAACACCGACAGCCCGCACCCGTGATAGACCCTCACAGAACGCACCTAGAGCCCTTAAGCCCTAAACCCTAAACCCTTGCAACAACCTTCCGGTGAAGCAACGGGATGGTGCCTTTTGTGGTTTTGTCTGCGAGCGCCTCGTGGCAGCTCGATGGTTTTTAACTTTCCTTGAACTGGCAAACCCTGCTCGATGTGTAGGGTCCCTACAGATTATAAAAGAAGAGAACCCACAAGAGGGTAGGTTGTGATAACCCTAAACCCTAAACCCTAAACCCTAAACTAACCTAAAGTATGGCGATAAATGGATCCCTCAGCCCGCTGCCCACTTTCGGCCCTGAGCCTAAACGAAATGCTCCATGAATCTCATGCCCTGAAATCCTTAAACCCTAAACCCTGAAATCCTTAAACCCTAAGCCCTGAAATCCTTAAACCCTAAGCCCTGAAATCCTTAAACCCTAAGCCCTGAAGTCCTTAAACCCCCCCTGACCGCCCTAAACCTAAACCTAAACCCTGCCTTCCAAAAGTCTCGAGTCCTGTCAGCCTTCAGCTCTAATCCTAACCCGTAGCCTTGACACTCAGCGTTTTCGGATTTGGGGTTTAGGGTTAGGGGTTAAGGGTCTAGGGTTTAGGGTCTGGGGTTTAGGGTTTAGGGCCTAGGAAAGCTACCCCTCATGCCATGTAAAGATCCCAGCAAAAAGACTGTTGAGGTACGTCGGTCAGTGGAAAAAGGGAAAGCAACATGGGTGCCGAGCCTAGATGACAAACTCGGCGGCCAGTGCTTGGGGGGTAAGGTTTGGGGTTGTAGGGGTTTAGGGTTCAGCGCTGAAGGGTTCGGGGTTTGAGTTTTTGGTTTAACTGTCGTGGGTTTAGGGGCAGATACTTCTAGAGCCGTCTGTCTGGGGCTTGGTCAGGGTGCTACCTATAGTCCCCTGAACCCTAGACCACGGTTTAGGGTTTAGGGTTTAGGGTTAGTAGTGTCGCTTATTTGTGGAAGCTCCTTGATTTTCAGTTTCAGGGCTATGCCATGGGTTTTGAAATTAAGGGTTTAGGGGCGTTGAGGGTTTGGGGCTATAGGGGCCACATCTAGCTGCGAGTTGATGTTGCTGTTAGCGTTCACCATCAGCCAGATGCATCGACAGAACCATTTTCTCCAGGATCCGGGTATCTTGGAATCATTGGAACCCTAAGCCCTAAACCCTAAACCCTAAACCTTAATCTGACCGCCCTGCGAGGGCAGAAGCCTTGAGCCGCCTCTGCAGACACTTCCAGAGCCCAGAAAAATGAGATGCTCGTGTAATGATTACGTTTTAGGGTTTAGGGTTTATAAAGTTTAGGGTTATAGGGTTTAGGGTTTAGGGTTTAGGGTTTAGGGTTTAGGGTTTAGGGTTTAGGGTGTGATGAATGCAGAACCCTCGTGAACCTTAGATAGCCAATGGGAGAACTTTAAACTTTTTGGCTTTATATAGTACGTCTGTCCTAAAAGTTTGAACTTTTTTGGGCCTGGTTGTTGAAGAAGAGAGGAACTTGCTACGTAAGACAGCTGGTGTCGAAACTGCAGACAGAACCCCTAAACTTCCGTAAGCCCTTGCAGGTATTCCCACTTACAATGACCCCAACCAGTACAGACCGTAAAGAAGCCGCATCCGTACCTGCTGACAGAACCCCAAAGTAAACTCATGCTTGTCGCTACCCAGCGAAGCCCACGCCCTCGGGCCTGCAAGTGGGGGGCCGGGGTTGCCGTTTATACCCTAAACCCTAAACCCTAAACCCTAAACCCTAAACCCTAAACCCTAAACCCTAAACCCTAAACCCTAAACCCTAAACCATAATGCACACCTGGGTGATAAGTCGTTAGTGCGTTGAGAGGCTAGGGTTGTCTAAGGGTTGTTGGCTTGTAGGCTTTAGGCTTTAGGCTTTAGGCTTTAGGCTTTAGGCTTTAGGCTTTAGGCTTTAGGCTTTAGGCTTTAGGCTTTAGGCTTTAGGCTTTAGGCTTTAGGCTTTGGGCTTTAGGCTTTAGGCTTTAGGCTTTAGGCTTTAGGCTTTAGGCTTTGGTTTGTTCCAAGGTCCTTTGTAGTCTTGTTCTACGGGTTTTGTGAGTTGTACTTCCGGGCCCTATGGAACCCTACAGCTACTTAGAACTATTCCTGAGCTTGCTGACCCCACACCCGAACCTTCAAACTCCGAAAACCCCGAAACTCCCTAACCTCAAACCCCTGTGGGAGCCAAAAACCTACCGTCTTATGGCTTCTACCCTCTAACTAAGAGGTCATAACCTGCTATTTTGTAGGGTTCGGGGTCGCGCGTAAACCCTAAACCCCATCAATCCCCTCAAACCCTCAAGTACAGTTCAGCCCCAAGGCGTGGGAAGTGGACCGAGTGCAACGGCGTGGCGACCGGCATGTGTTGGGGACACCAAACTTTGTGGACGACCTTGTGCCCTATCTATATATATATATATACACCCTAAACTAAACCCTAAGCCCTAAACGGCCCTATACCCTTCAACCCTAAACGGCCCAAAAGGCCCTAAACCCCAAGCTCTAAAGGGCCCTAGACCCCCAACCCTAAAACCGTAAACGGGCCCTAAACCCTAAAACCCTAATAAGCCCTAAAAGGCACTAAATCCTATAAAATCCTAAAAGGCCTCTAAACCCTAAAAGCCCCTAGACCCTAAACGGCCCAAAAGGCCCTAAACCCTAAAGCCCTAAAAGGCTCCTAAACCCTAAACCCTAAAACCCTAAAAAGGCCCCTAAACCCTAAACCCAAAGCCCCAAAACCCTAAAACCCTAAAAAGCCCCCTAAACCCTAAGCCCAAAGCCCCTGAAGCCCTGCTTTAAGAACTGAGCAGAGCGGAGCTCTGGCAGTGAATGGGCTTGGGCCGATGGCTTAGGGCCCCTAGAGCCCTTTAGAGTTTAGGGTTTAGGGTCCCTAGAGCCCTTTAGGGTTTAGTGTTTAGGGCCCCTAGAGCCCTTTAGGGTTTAGGGTTTAGTGTTTAGGGGTTTTAGGGTTTAGGGTTAGGATTTAAGGTTAAAATTTAAGGTTTAGGGTTGTGGGTTAGGGCTTAGGGTTTAGGGTTAAAGTTTAGGGTTTAGGGTTTAGGGTCTCTAAAGCCCTGACCCAGAAACTTAAGCCCTCAAGCCCCAAACCCGTAAAGCACTCGCAAAGGAACTCTGGACGGCACCCGTAAAGGAGCCCTGAATTAAAGGAAGCCCTACAGGAGCCCTCACATGAACTCCTAAAGGAACCCTTCAAAGAACCCTTCAAGGACCCTTAAAGGAACCCTCGAAGGAACCCTCTAAATGAGCCCTTAAAGGAACCCTTCAAGGAACCCTTAAAGGAACCCTTAAAAGTTCTTAAAGGAACCCCTACAGGAACCCTCTAAAAGAGGCCTTAAAGGAACCCCTAAACGAAACCTTAAATCAACCCCTAAAAGAACCCTTAAATGAACCCCTGAAAGGAACCCTTAAAGGAACCCCTAAAAGAACCCTTAAAGGAACCCCCAAAGGAACCCCTCAAAGAACCCTGAAAGGAACCCTAAAAAGGAACCCTTAAAGGACCTCTTAAAGGAACCCTTAACGGAACCCCTGGACCTGAACTTGACAGCCGGCCAGGTCACAGGGGAGGGCGAGTGGAGCAATGGCCACAAGGTCCGCTGGGTCGAGGCCACGCCGTTAGGGTTTTAGGGTTTTAGGGTTGGGTTTAGGGTTTTAGGGTTTAGGGTTTTAGGGTTTAGGGTTTTAGGGTTTCAGGGTTTAGGGTTTCAGGGTTTAGGGTTTCAGGGTTTAGGGTATTAGGGATTGAGGGTTTAGGGTTTGAGGGTTTAGGGTTTTAGGGTTTGGGGTTTAGGGCCGAGTTCTTGTAATTTAGGGGGCCTAAATTGTTGCAGCACACATAAAGCCTCATAAAGCCTCAGCCAGTGTTTGCAGTCCGACAACCTTCTTACCCAGACACTCCAAGACCCATTAATTGAGACATACTTAGATCTCCAATACCCAACCTTTAAACTTTTTGGTTTCTTATAATTTACCGAACGTTTAAACTTTTATTTCCCTGGCTTGTTGGAGAAGTAAGCATATACTCCTAAAGCCAAATCACGGAACTTCCTCTCATCCAATGTATATTTCTTCATGAACTAGTTTCCGAGCCTCTGGGTAACACATGTGAAGCACGGCATTTTTGCCATTTGCTGCAGGCCCATGACCCCAACCCTGCACTTTGGAAAACAGCAAACCCCACTCCGTAGCCGCACGTCCGAGGTTCCAATACACCTGAACTACGGAATAGATTCTTAGCAGCTGTGCAGGTGACATTTTTTGTTCCTTTAGTGGCCGCTATGGGGTTTCCCTAAGGGTCCATGTGCCCAAATAGTGTATACTTTGACCTTAATGTAGTCCCTATATAGGTACTTTAGGGCCAATGTATATACTGTTTAGGCACATGGACCCTTAGGGATAGCTACCATACTTAACCGACTAGCCTTTCTTGGGCGAGGGAACTCAGCAACTGGGTATTCCTGAAATTTACGGGTGGGAATTCCAAGAGGCGACTCCATAAGATCACGTGAACAACAAGTTCGTAGGAGCCTATAAAGCCCCCATGAAGGCTTGCTTACAAGTTGCAAAGACCCTAGACGTAGACTGAGTATGTAAAAGGGGCATCCTTTGACCTCTAATCCCATCATAAGGCAATAGGTTAGCCGGCTAACCCTTCGATCTCTCTAATACTGGACAAGTTGATTTGCAAAACTCTCTAAGGGTTTAGGCCACCAGGCTTTAGGGTTCGGGGGGTTGAACCCTAAACAAGTCCGGAGGCACCAAGCCAGCCCGTGGAGAGTGAGGCCACGGCACCCTCATAGCGACGGTCCTGGGAATCTTTTTTTGCGGGGGGTTTGTTTTATGGGTTTAGGGTTTTTTGGTTGGGAGATTGCATGCCTCTTTAAGGCTGCAAGTGCCCACTCCAGAACTTTGGTGCTTTTTCAGGAAGCAAATAACAACATATTAGTGAGGGCTACTTCCGGAGCCTTGAGGTTGGTTGTGATGTTTGGGGACTGGACGCTGCGGTTTATACCTTAGGATTCAGGGCTTTCGTCCGCAAGCGCAATTCTCCGGATGCCGACACCATCCATTGTACCGTAGAACCCACCGCCAAAGTGCGCAGTGATTCTGACTGCCCAAGGAAGACGGGCTTGGGTTCATCCCTTGCATTCCGAGGGTGTTATGACTCGCAACCATGCCAATCTACCATCATCTGCATGTGCTATTCAAGTAGTTCGTTGATTCACATATTTATTGCATGGTGAACTAGCTAATTCATTGGGTGGATCACCACCTTGAACCCTAAACCCTAAACCTTACCCACCAGACTATCTATCTGAGTTAAGGAAGCCGCCTACGAAGCCCTCTGGCAACCCGCGAAGCTTCGTAAAGCTGGCAAACCGTTAACGCAGCAGAGCAGATGTCGACATATCCTAGGAATTGCCTCAAACCCTGCAAAGGTCTCGTTCCGAACCATACGTGCTAGATTCTATATACCTAAACCCTAAAACCCTATAGAGGCACAAAAGCTGATGGAGCCGACACTTGCAGTCGCTGTAGGCTGCTAAAAGGGATCTTGGAATCCTTAGCCCTAAAGCTCAAAGCCCTCTGCAACTCTCTGAGACCCTTTAGAGCCCGGTACAACAGCAAAAAGGGGGCCTTCATAATTACCTATGCTGTTTTGGGGGTTGCTTATTGTAATTATAGTACAATGGGCCCCAAAACCCTATTCTAATTATTAAGGCCCCTACATTATCGCGGCTGACATTCTAGCCCCATGAGGCTTCATCGCGATCTATATCACAAGGTGACTTCGCATAAGCGGTCCCTGTAGAGGACCGTCGATTAGAACGCAGTTCCGCATAGGGTACCCTAAACCCTAAATCCTCAAC